TGTTATAGATATGTCCAGCTCAGTGTGTGTTAATTAAGGACTCCCAGAGGGTAGGAGACTCAGAACCTCAAGTGCAACGTGTACTACACTAGACACTAATAAGTTATTAATAGACTGGAGTTTTAGAACCTCAGGATATCAGGTTAAAGTAATTTACATAAGTGTCACTACCTCTTAGCCCCTGCTTTGCAGGCATGGATTGAAGGAAAGTGGATATTTAATTTGAGAGTTTCTGCCTGAGGACTCAGAAGTGAAGTTTACACTAGGTCTGTCTGTTGTCTATAAACTTTTTTCCTCATGATTGTGAAAACAGAATAATGAGACCCCGGAGTATTTACATTCCTATCAATGACCTCTTCAAGTCACCTTGGTAGTGTACATCCTCATTCCACCACAACACTGCCATTATTCAGAGCACTTTTTAAATGATCTTTGCACATTGTTTTTGGATCTGCACAGGAAGCGCCAGCTTATTTTACTAGAACCGGCACCTTGGTTTTTATACCAAAGTAGTATTGATTCCCCCATGTTATTATGCTTAGTTCTGAACAACCTATTTCTGAAAATAACATCCACTCTCAAAAACCTGGTATTTGCCACCACTAAATATAGTCGAAAGAATTTGTCATAATTATTGAAGGCTATGCCAAGATATTTCTGGAATCAGAATAAAGGTTCCCCGAAGTAATGGCTTTGAAATAAACTCACTTAGAGATGTAAGTTTTGTTCCCTAGCTGCAAAATTGTGTGATGCAGTGATATGTATGTTCTAAATAAAGTCACAGTTCTTCTGCAGAGGAACCGTTTGTACCATCTGGCTAAGGCCGGGGCAGGTCCTTGGGTTTGCTGCTCTGACCTCGCAGACCGTTTTAGCCACCAGAACACCTGTTGACACTTTGACATTGGAAGGTGTAGAAAAAGAGCACTGAAACAGCCCAGGATTTTTGTAGAGAAGGGCAGGCAGGGAGAGACGAAGTGGCTTCTAAAATAGTATGGCACAGAGAACACACTGAGCAGGAATATCTATTTTGTCTACACACTGCTTTCTGTGATACCAAAAATGCAAAGACTGTTCCTGAATGAGACCCTTAACACTTAGTCATCTTCTTGCCCTAGAATAAACTGGGAAATAAGCAAGTGCTTAACCAGGTTGGCCTGGCATTCTTGTGGGTGGATGATAAGACCCTTGAGGGTATTGAGGTTAACTATGACGACATGGAGGTGGTCCAGTGGAGTCTCAGTGGTGCCAGCCAGGAAGCTTAAAATAGACCTGCATGTGGGTCTGAGATGCTGTCAGCCTGATGGCTAGTGAGCGGCCAGGGCGTTTGCCAAAATCAGCGATTAGTGGGAGGAGAGGCTGCTGAACACTCATCTTTAGCTCCTGCCTCCCTCCAGGTCTTGGATAGGAAATCAGCAAATAATTACTAAGTACATAAGCAATAGGTACCTTTTTATTACTATCCTGGGGTTGAGAGTTGCTTTTCTGAAATTAAGTTATTTGGAGTTATTGGAACACTGAGGTCAGCAAATCATCTACAAGAAAGAAACAAAACCTGTCCTGTGGCTCATTTCTTGTGGGCCAAAGGCTGTTATGGGTGTGGTCACATCTGTCTCATCTGATATTTTAAAAGTAGTCTGTTCTCATCAGAATTCATGAGGCAGTAGTATGTTTGAGGAATATACATGTAGCTATATACATGTAGAATATACATGTATATACATGTATACATATATGTATATCAAAGGTAAATATTCTACATGTATATACATATGAATACATGTATATACATGTAGCTTCATTCCCTTGCAAAATTAGGGACAAAAACCTCCTAGAGAATAGGCAGGAAGTTTCTGTGCCTTAATTTAATGTGACAAAATATGAAAAGTAGGTGTCTGGGATTGCTTTATTAGAGGTTCAGGAGCTTTTAGTAAGAAGACTGCAGGTCTGTAGACCTGAGGCAGGCATGTATTTCGAAAATCACTCTTAATGAGGGTATCTTCAAATAGTAAGGATGCTGTGCGTGGGGGGAGGGGCATTACTGTCTAGCCATCAGACCGTCAGGCAGGATTACTTCATCAGTGTAATTCTGTAGATGATTCTCCAGTATACAGAGGTAAAAGGTGAAGGAAGGGTTTCAGGGGAACTGAGACATTGGGGGTGGG